ATTTTTTTTTTCTGATTTTCTGGATTTCAGTGCTTTCAGTTCTGCTCGATTTTAGTTTCGGCGTGAATCGAGTGCCAATGCTGCTGTAGAAGCATTGAATAATAGATGGTTTGGTGGTGAGCCAATTCACTGCGAGCTTTCGCCGGTTGTCGATTTTCATGATGCATGCTGCAGGCAATACGAAAATGGGTCAGCCTAAGTTTCAATTTCAGCTCAGCTATGAACTGAAGCAAATCAAAAAGCAAAATATCTTAGCAAATGAACTCCATAAGATGTGTTCGAAAAATTGATTTTTATTTGAAAAATAAATGTTTTTTTGCTATCACTCTGACGCGCAAGGTTCAGATCCACCTGGTCATTGGTACTTGCTACTAGCGGCGGAAAGAGATTTTAATTTTTACTTGTAGGGCATTCAGCTGAAGGGGTAGATGAGAGAGCGCGAGTATAGCTAAATACCTTGTACTGATAAATTTTTAATTAAAATGTAAGGATTTGATTGATATTTGAAATTTTATCATACGAATTTACCTGAGGGATCATAGCATTAACATTCCGGTCACCAGAAATTACAAGCTCTCTTCGTCCATGCAACTGAATTTGCCAAAATCTTTAACGAATGTAGGGCAGGTCTCCTTTCAGAGGATGCAGTCGTGGTGGTTTTTGTAATTTTATGCATCTGAAGAAGGTGAGCTCATCGCTGAAACGTAAGCTGGCGAAACAAAGTGAGAAAGCCCGTCGAAAAAGGCCTCCGCCAAAGATACGCAAAGCATCGGGAAGCAGCGAGAAAATTGACGATGAAACTTTGCCGAAAAAGTATCAAGAGTTGTCGAGGTAAATTTTTCAGAAAGATCACAGAAAACAGGGATGGCTAAGGCAGAAAAATATATATGGCCGCTGAAATGAGGGGAAGAAATTCGCTCACTATAAGCCGCATTTCTTCGAAACCTTTGCTTCGATGCAGACTCTTTTTATCCATAGTGGTTCGATTTTAATTTAGCTTGGAAGTCTTCGGAGA